AATAATAGGCTCCTTCCACTGCTCAGGTAATTCTTCTTTACTTCGTATAGAGTTAAATACTTTATGGGTCTCAGAATGTAATATTTCATCGCCTGTCTTGAACATTATCTGCAGTTACTAGAGGTATTAAATTCGTAATGTTGTTGCAGATAGGATGGTAATGTATTGGTTTAACATAATGTGCTCGAAGATTATGAAGTAGAAACGTAATATCTGACCCCGAAAATTAGAATTCACCTTTGATCCATCTTAATGTTATCTTTCCATCTCTTTCTCAATCTTCTAAGTGGACATTCTCCAGAAGGACTTTCGAGGTAAAATAAACATCAATGCATTTTACCCAGTCATCATATGAGGAGACCTTCAAAATCTCATTGATATTAGTATTTTAAATAGTGTCTTATATAAATAACTAAATTCATTTTGAAATAATATCCTAAACTGCTTACTTACATGATTTTCGTAAGTTAAATGAAATTCATAAAGGTAAGATAAAATTGTCCCTGTGCTCAACTACTTAAGCACTTCGACATGAAAACATGGACGAGTGGATGGTACAGACACAATTTTCTTGACCTCGGCACTAGCCGCAGGTGAGTGGTCAGTTTCACTCCTCGGCCGCTTTACTCCCGGGGAAAGAGCCCCTGGTACTCATTGGATAGGAGGCTGGGTGGCCAAACAACAGGTCTGGACGACATGGAGATGTGAAAATTCTTGCCCCACCGGGACTCGAACACCGACTCCCTTGGTCATCCAGCCCGTAGCAAGTCGCTATACCGACTGAGCTATCCCGGCTCTGAATAAAGTTCATTATATTAATTTGTGTTGGTTGATGCGCTATGCTACAAGCCGGAAAGCAGCGGGATCGAATTCCAATGAGGTGGATTTTTTCAATTTACCTAATCCTTCCAGCCGCACTATGACCCTGGGGTCGACTCAGGCTCTAACAGAAATGAGTATCAGGAATATTCTTGGGGGTAAAGGGCTGCCGGCGCGTAAGGCTTACAACCTTACCGCCATCTATGAGCCGATTGTCTAGAAAATGTGGGACCCTCAAAGTCTCACAACACTATGGGCCTCCACGGCCTGGTACAGGGATAACTTTACATTACTTTAATAATTTTTGCAAGCAGACGCAGAGTTATACTTACCGTGGAACTACTATTTTATTTTGTTGACGTAATTCTTAAACATGTTTTTACTAAAAGCTTTTATATCTGGTCCACTAAGCAGCAGATAAGGAGAATGAATCAAGCAGTCGAGCATTCATTTCGTGCGCACCGTACGTCATACGAAGTTTTGGAACTACTGCGTCGTGTCACTATCTCTCTTTGGGATCGAATGTTCCTTTGTAACATTACTTTTTTTACTCATGTGCAATATTTCAAGAATATTTTATTTCCGTTGGTTTCATATTCTTACGTTATCCCTTTTCGCTTTGTTTCCTTTCCTATCTCATTTCGCTGATGATAAAAGCCCTCCACAGCTGAGTCTGGAGCAGTAAAAAGTGTGATAGTAACGCGCACTTTGCTTGGAATATCGTTCATCATTGTAACTTTGTGTTACATGATCTATTACCAATACGAGAATTCTGTTTCGTGTGCGCCTGCATGATGCTGTTTAGACTGTCTGCAACATCGCCGCGTCGGAGAAGTTTCCGCCCGAGCACGGCGAATTGGCGTTCCTGACATGTGTTTGTTTTAATATGAAATGTTTGCTTTGGTGCTACTTGAACCGAAGTGGAAGTGTTTGTATTAACGGCAGCCGAATCAGGTGACAGCGCAGAGAAATGCGCGCACGATTTCGTGCTTCCTCAGTATTGGAATCGCTGTTTACAGTTCCTCTGGGTACACTGATACGTGCCCACTGAGAAACCGAGGCATATAATTTGTTTGTGTTGGCTACATTGAATGAACTTCAATGGGCAACACTGAATGTTCTTCATTCGTCTGTTTACAATCTGTAGTGCTTTTATAAGTGCATTTGTGATTGTGTTGAGCGAAGGAGCCCTGCGAGTCCGACTCGGCTCGGGTTCTAGTGAACCAGATTCGTCCGCGTGTGGGCTGCAAAGTTGAGAGCCAGCTCACGCCTGTGTGGTGAAATTAATCCGAGCCCGGCTCCCGAGTCAAGCTCGCCGAGCGGGACTCGCGAGCCAGACTCGTATGTGTATGGGCCCCTTAACAGTGCTATATGTCCTAAGGACCTTACACATAATCGCTTTCAGCTATCAAAATGAGTTTGCAGAATTTCATCTCTTATCGCAATAGCTGAATGCTAAGATGTCTTTCGCTTCTACTTTCCTGGTGTTTATAATACCCTTCTTTAGCATCCGGTGTCCAGAAAACTTACTGATGAGTTCATCATAATACAAAATATCATAACGCAACAGGACATGACATGCAATTAAATTGAAACTGTATCCACTCACTTCGATGTGGATTAAACGGCACTTCGACGTGAAATTATTTTCTGTCTGCACAGAAGAGATGGGCAAAACAAGTTGTGAGCTGCTGCAATTCAGCACTGGATTTGCTGTGTGCAGTTGGAGAGATCATTCGTTATGCATACTGCTGTGGTGCCATTTTAATGTAAAATTCTGCTGTGAGTTATAATTATAGCAACTGGTCTTTTGGACTCCCCGTTTTGTGAATATTTCTCTTGGTATACTGCTTTAGGAACCACAATCATACGCCTATTAGTCAGTACAATAATATCCCTCTTTTCAAATATACAAATGTTATGCGCAGTAAGCGGATTAATTTAAAGTAATAAATTGAACCCTTGGTTCCAAGTATAGGTCGATATAAAGCGTTCTTGGGACAGATGACAATTTGCTTGGAAATTTACAGAGTACAGCTGTCGCGTTTTATCTACATTACGTACTCGTACTTTTGTTTTGAAAAACATGTCAGCGTCTACGAAATAATGAAAAATAAATAGATGTAATTCACTACACTAATTTTTTGTCAAAAGTTATTTAGAACAGGGGTATCCAGAAGTTTGCAGGTTGTTGCCAAATATAATAATAATGTAGCTCTTACATTTAACACACTGCAGAGTCCACGTTGAGTAACTTGTAGAGAAATTCTCCGAATTTTACGAAAACAAAATGTTGATTTCTGTTTGCGCAAGAGCTTCCTTTTATACCCTATTCTCAGCCACCTGAATCCAGTTCACAGACAAACAAAAATAAACTGTGGCCTGTAGCCCGCAAGCAAACTATACCGACCGAGTGCCTGCCGCTTGTCGGCTAAATTAGTGCCAACTTTTGCGGATAGAGGGTGTCGCGTGGTCAGCGCAACGAATCCCCACCGCCGTTAATCTCGCTTTTCTAGACCGGAGCCGCTATTTTCTTGAAATAGCTCCTGAGTTATCCTCACGAGGCTGAGTGGACCCCGTTCCAGACCCACTACTGCCCAGAAAATCTGGTAGCTCCGGGAATCGAACCCGGGAACTCTGGATCTGTAGCCAGGAACTCTGACCACTAGACCACAGAGGTGGTCCCAGTTCACAGACACATATATTATTGAATTTTCGGCTGAAATCTCTTGTGCATTTTCTCCTTACCACATCGAGACAGTGCCAGAACATGCCTGACTCTCTGTATAACATTACACAATATATTAGTTCGTTTTGTGGTGTCCTTGCCCAAAACCTAGGTATAGTCTCCTTTCGTCGACTGTTTGAGATTGCTCGCTAGACATCCTCACTGCCACACTCCATACCTGAAGACCGTCCGCTTCATTCACAACCAAAGGACGCAACATGCAATGGTGACAGGAAACTTACTTAACGTGGTCTACATGACCAAACGTTATCTTATTTGGGCGGTTACTGAACACGTATGCCTTGAAATCGCATTTATGAAAGAGGATGTCGATTAATTTGTTGGGTATAAATATTGAGTTTTTGGATATCGTCCCAGTATAGCGACTAGCTGCGGATTGCAAGACCGAGGGGTCGGAGTTCGAGTCCCAGTAGGGTAAAAATTTTCTTTTCTCCACGTCGTCCAGCCCGGTTCTGGGGTCCACCCAACCTCCTATCCAGTGGGTATCGGGAGTAAAGCGGCCGGGGCGTGAAGCTGACCACTCAGCTATATCTAGTGCTGAGGTCAAGAAAATACGGATCTATATATTCACTCCCCCATACACCTTCATGGCGTAGTGTTTAATCAGTTACGTACAGTGACAACTTTACCTTTACTTTTACCTTTTACGGTGTTTAATGAGTAATGAGTAATGACCGGCCAAGCTCACTCCTATCTATAGTAATAATTTTTTCTGTGAACCAATTTAAGCTCTTAACCCAGTTTGTATGAGGACGTATAATGAAAAAAGAGCAATTTGGGTTTACCTCAAAACATATGTTGGCAGCAACGAAACACGTGACACATACTCGCAAAATCCACGAACTTTCTGTAATTTGCACTTTTTCTCTTTATCNCCCACTGGGGCTGTAGTGCCAAGGAAATATATATATATATAGTGAAGAAGGATGGGTTGCGATCAGTGACAGTTCAGTGTGGCTGTGATTGTATGACACACGGGAGGACTTACAAATTGGCGAAAGCTTCTGGGAGTAGTGTCTTTGATGCTGGATCATCTGAGGCTCATCTATGAAACTTGTGTCCAAATTAACGATCAGCTGCGTCAGCGTGCCAGGGACAACAGAAGAGTCGGAGCTGACAAAACTATATCGGAAGCAGGCATCATCGCAGGAAGTAAACAGTGCAAGAATGACTTAAGACCCAAACGATGTAAGAAATATTGTAATTAATTGAAGATATTCGTAGATAGTTCGGCCGGATGTTTAAGAGAGTCAGACTATAATACCTGAAAGTGAGGTACATCTAACTACATTGGTGATTACTTTGTCAGAACTCACAATAAAACTGCCTTAAAAATAATGATTCATTTCTTATCTTATAATGACCATATTCTGAAGAAGAATTCACATGAACGTGGGACGCCTTCTGATTGGTTTGTCATTGTGTGTTCCAGGTCAGACCACCGTCCCCGCGGCATCACTTTCGCATTCACTCCGTCACCACCAGCATGGTGCTGGCGCCAGTGGAGGGCTCTCGAGACCAACACCCCGAGATGACCTTGACTTGCCTTCAGAGTCGCCTTTGACTTCTGGTGATTTATACCGCTTGTCTACAGCTGACAGTCCAACAACTGTGATCCCACCTCCAGAACCTCCGACGCCCCCGCGGATCATAGAGTTGCCTGTGAGACAGCACAGAGAGGTGCACCTGAACTGTGAACTCGACGTAGTGAGCAACACGAGCACCAAGCAGCGTGCCGGCAGCCTCATGTGGTTCCATGACGGCCGACCCGTAGACGCTTTCGTTTTAGACAAGAACACTCGATCGGGGAGTGGATTAGGACACCGCTACATGAGAGACTTGTTGACAGGGCAGCTGCGAATTGCTAATGCAAGGTTGGAGGACGAAGGTGTGTGGCACTGCGAGGATCGCGACCCTATCACGGGAATTGTCATTTCAACTGGAAAACCGACCCGCCTTATCGTTCTAGGTAAGTACAGCAATTGTATTTCTTTCAATCAGTACTTTTAGTTCTGGTCTTGGTGGCAGTCGAGTTTAACAGCATGAATAAAAAATAAAGTTAGGGAGGGAGATTAACTGAGAATGATTTGAAGCCTTTTTTGTATTTGTAGTTTATTTTAACTCAATCGTCAGTAACTCAAGACTATGCAACGTCGAGCCCAGATACTAAGCAAAAATATGAACCCCTATAGGTCTGTAAGTAAAAATTTGTGACGTTTAAATCTGAGATAACATTTCTATTTGAATAAAATTAAAACATTACCATCATTTGGATGTTGAACTTCTAGGATGTGGGAAACTCTCGTATTTGCAGAGTTTTGATGTAGGACACGCAATAGGAGGAGGAAAGAAAATGAGATACATTGAAAGATAAAGGAGGCAGGAGGAAGCGAAAATAAGGAGGAGGGGCAAGGGGGTAGCAAGTGAAAGATGATTGAAGAATTAGATGCAATTCAACAACTGAGTCTGGTATCATTTTACTCCTGATGATGACCCAGTATAAGGGTCGAAACATGTAGCGTCAATAAAAACAAATGTTGATACGATAATGTCTACCTTGTTTTGAATACAGAATACTTTTGTGTAGACTGCATACTTTTGTATGCATTTTATGTGCCTTGTTTATAACACACAACAGGATGCATACTATTGAGAGTGGATAATATGTCACAAGCAACAAGTATTATGTTTTTGGACATTATCCATCGTCTTGTCTATATTTAAAAACCTTCCTGTTTTTTAATATAGTAGACAAGACGATGGATAATGTCCAAAAACTTGATACTTGTAGCAGTGTACAATCGTCACAAACTTTTAGATCTTATGTCGCATGCAGTTGGGAAGTTGTGTTCGTTGTGCTTCAAATATTCTCAGTAATATCGTCTAGCTATGTCATTTCGCCAAACTGTTTATTCTGTAATCATTATAAAACACCCTGTACCAGACAGAAAGAAAGAGAAAGTAAGTGCAGGATGAAGAAAACTACATGCTTTAGAGTTTCATTAAATACTGATAGGGTCATAAAGCTAAATTAATAATACAGCAGGCTGATGTTGATGAGAATGCATGCAAATATTAATCAGTTAATATAAAGTGGAGACCAGATGAGAGTTACAGGCGCAGTTGGGAGAGCAATATTAAATTACATTTTAATAAAATGGGATATGAGGATTCAACTGGCTCAGGATATCGTTCAGTGGCTATATATGGTGAACATAGTAATGAAATTTCTGTTTGAAATAAGGCTGGGAATTCCTTGAAAACTTAGAAATAACAAATTTTTCAGGAATGACTGCTCCTTGGATTCCCCCCTATTTTCATCCCCCTTGTGGGAGGGACAATGCTACGCTTCCCTCCGTCATTTATGAAATATGACTATACCTTCTCAGCGATCTGTTTTCTGTGTTTCTTATCATTGCTGAAGCGACATCCGTTTCTTCCCATAATGTTCCATTTATCATATTCTGCAGCTGTCACATTGTCAAGCTATTCAACCAGTGGCATGTTTCTTACGTTGCGTGACTCTTGCTGCAGGAACTGGGGCTCTGACGGGAAATGCCACATGTTAGAACTCTCAACATGCTTCCTAACACTCAGCAACACATAAATGGGTTCAAGAGACTGAAAGCTCTCAAAACACGAAGGACTTAACTTCTCGAGGCCGCATTTCTGCTATCCTCCAATGGATTCGCTGTCGTCGCGATGTTAGCCGAGTGCCAGTGCTTGTCTCATGGTCCGTATCTCTATAAGTTGCGCAATACTGTCTACAGCTCGCTTCCCTTCTTCTGCTGTCCTCCAATGGATTACCTGTCGTCGCGATGTTAGCCGAGTGCCAGTGCTTGGTCTCATGGACCGTATCTCTATCAGTTGCGCAGTACGTCTGTGCTCCGTATCTTCACCCAATTTGAATGTTTTTCCACGAATGAGGGAATGATGTTCCTTTGAGTTAACAGGGAGATAAAGTTGCCGCTGCGTTGAATTAAACACGAAACCATGAAGACATGTTATAGTGGAGGTTTAGCTCCAGTCAGTCTNTTCGAAACTTCTCTGGGAAAATTCTTTTCTATAGAAACATACTGTGCCTTGTACACGCAATCAGGAGATGCCTTCGTCTTAAAGTACAATCTTGAGCAGAGCGTCTGCTTTCAGACCCCGAGTCTCGCTGTTTAAAACAGGGACATTCACATCTCGCAGAACTTAGAAACTTTGTATACAGTTGTGCTTATTTTAAATCTTTCTACTTGTCCGGAGTGAAACGAGAGAATCCAGGCAGAATGCATAAAGACCGCTTTCCTATTCAGTTAAGTTGTGAACTTAGTTTATTATTATTATTGTGACATACGCCTGAAAGCCTGAATAGTGGTTAGAAAAGACGATCATTGCTAGGTAACGGTGGCCTAAACACTTACCGAATATTACGCTGTCAACGAATACGCGTCCACTGTCGGGCAGCAGATTTGATTACCATAGTATTGCACGTGTTATCCAACACAAGGCAGAAAACACAGTTCTGGAACCCTTAGAGGTGTTGATCTCTATTTGGTTCTTCCGAAGCTAGGGAGGTCAGACAAGACCAGAGAAGAGCAGTTTACCAGAGAGAAGTTGANTACTTCTCCGGAGTGAAACAAGAGAATCCAGGCAGAATGCATAAAGACCGCTTTCCTATTCAGTTAAGTTGTGAACTTAGTTAATTATTATTATTGTGACATACTCCTGAAAGCCTGAATAGTGGTTAGAAAAGACGATCATTGCTAGGTAACGGTCGCCTAAACACTTACCGAATATTACGCTGTCAACGAATACGCGTCCACTGTCGGGCAGCAGATTTGATTACCATAGTATTGCACGTGTTATCCAACACAAGGCAGAAAACACAGTTCTGGAACCCTTAGAGGTGTTGATCTCTATTTGGTTCTTCCGAAGCTATGAAGGTCAGACAAGACCAGAGAAGAGCAGTTTACCAGAGAGAAGTTGAGGACCCGTGAGTCGAGGAAACGAAGCCGTCGTGATAAGGAGTTGTGAGGATTCAGCTGTGAAGTGCTAACGGACTTTGAAGACTTCACAGAAANAATTATTATTATTGTGACATACTCCTGAAAGCCTGAATAGTGGTTAGAAAAGACGATCATTGCTAGGTAACGGTCGCCTAAACACTTACCGAATATTACGCTGTCAACGAATACGCGTCCACTGTCGGATAGCAGATTTGATTGTCATAGTATTGCACGTGTCATCCAACACAAGGCAGAAAACACAGTTCTGGAACCCTTTGAGGTGTTGATCTCTATTTAGTTCTTCCGAAGCTAGGGAGGTCAGACAAGACCAGAGAAGAGCAGTTTACCAGGGTGAAGTTGAGGACCCGTGAGTTGAGGAAACGAAGCCGTCGTGGAATAGAGTTGTGAGGATTCAGCTGTGAAGTGCTAACGGACTTTGAAGACTTCACAGAAATCTGTAAATATTTATTTACAGAAATCTTGAAAATATTATAATTATTTTAGTTACGACTTGTAAGTATTCAATAAATTGTTTCGCCAATCCAAACCCCGTCTACAGCTCATTAATGCACGTAACAACTGGTGTCAGAATATACCAATCCAAACCCCGTGTACAAGTCACTAATACACATGACATTAGTATTTACTGTTATAATTATTGCTAGCATTAGATAGTTTTGACTGGAAGGAAGATCTTCAACCTAGGAAATTAGGCCAGAACTGAGCCTTCGGCTAAGGAGAACTGTGAAGTTGCCCTTTTGATGTCAGCAATGGTCAGAAGAAACATGACTTAAAAGAACAAGTATGGAAGATGTAACATATTGAAAACTGTTGAAGGCTGTGCTTAATGAAACATTGTAAACCAAGAAGTGTCGAAAGTTCTAGAGGTCAGCCTTCCACAAAGATTCCATTTTGACTTCTTTTGAATGCAAGTCACGGTAAAGAAAAATTCGCTTTAACCATCGTGTCCCTGTTAATATACTCTGATTTAACATTCTGTTCACACTTCTAGGTTTGTCATTTATAATTTGATGATGACAAAAAGTCAGTGGGATTAGCCCAGTAATTCCAGTGTTGCATCAGTTAATGCAACAAGTTTATTTTGCATTGGTGGTATACTACAACAGACGCTTTTCTAACTAAACTTGATACATGGTGTTTCAGTTACGTGCCTGTTTACTTATGGTTTCTACTGTTAACATCGATTAAAACAGAAACGTGACCCTGTTATAGAAGAGAGCCGCAGATCGGGAAAGCATTGAATTTTGACCACACAATGGAATGCTTTGAAGTAGTCACTGCTAGCTCACCGAGAGTTGCTACGCAACGGGAAGTCTGCGGAATCTGGAAGTTGCTTTCCCCGCTTGAAACTTTCGGTTTCGTTGCTTGAGACCTCTTGCACAGTACCGCCCATAGCTCATTTACTCTCTCTCTCTTATAACGTAAACTGAACCCCTCTCATTTCCTTTAACTCTCTCTGCCTGATGGCTCCTAAGTAACAAACACCATTCAGCCGAGTCCTTGAGAAGTCGCCAGTCCCTCAGCAACCCAAGAATTTCCCAACATTTTATGGAATTCAAATGTATATTACCGTGCTCATAATAAGCGTTCAAACGTCCCTGTACTATCCAAGATGAATCCAGTCCATACCACTCCATCCAGCTTCTCTAAGATCCATCCTAATATTATCCTCCCACCTACGTCTAGGTCTTCCTAGTGGTCTCTTTCCTTCTTGCTTTCCCACCAGAACCCTATATACAGTATATTTTATTGCATTGTATGTGCATTCTTATTATCCCAATGGGTACTATATGCACTCTCTATATTTCTGGCTACTGGGACGTCGTGTAAAGTTATCTGTGCATACCAATTTTATAATTTTTTTAATCATGGACAATTAATGCCCTAAAAGATGTGTTTGATATTAACAAGGCATAACCGTGAAGCGTAAATGAAAGAGTAGCCATGTCACATT